TTTTGAAATATAATTTAGTTGGAATTTTATATTTAGATGTTATTATTTTAATTGTATTAAAAAAATTGTTCATCTTTTATTTTTGTAATGTCTTTCTATTTTATTGAATTATTCATAAATGTTATTTTGATATGGCAGCACTTCCTTTTTGTTACAATGTTAGCTATGTGAGATTCTTGTGATAGTAAAGAATAGAATTATTAACTAAAGTTAGAAAGTACGTTCTAATAAAGATTAATAATGATTTTAAAAAAATACTAAAAATTTATCAAATTTAAAAGATTATGTTTGACTTAAAGTTAAAGTATAAAATATATTTTAAAAAAATGTAATGAAACATGATGGTGACTTTAAACAAAAGATTATTTAAAATAATTTATATGAAAATGCTTAATCGATCTATAATAAGAAAATAAAGTCAAAGTCACTAAAATAATTTTAACAAAGATAATTTTATTACAATAAAACAAAATTTTTGAACTAAACCTTAAATTTTAATTCATAAACTCTAAAATTTTAAATACTAAATATAAAACTTTTATTTTAATTTTCAAATCATCTAAAAATTAAAAATTTCAAAGTTGTCCATTAAAAGAATCATTAGAATAATTATGATATTTATAAACTCTTTTGTTCAAAAGATACTTGTATTATAAAACTTTTTTTTTTTTAATTTATCAAATTATCTATAAAAAATTAAAATTAAGTATTTTAAATATGTCACAGAAAAATTATTTTATTGTGAAAAGAAGTTATTGACGTTTCCAGCCATCTTTTACTTGTCTTGTAAAGATGAGACGCTACAAGCAAACATATTTGACCAAAAAGATATTGAATCAATGAATTTTGTTGTCTTTCTTTATACGACCATGACTCATGACCAAAAAAATATTAATATTCAAACACGTTTGTCAATGATATAAATAAATTATGCAACTTGTCAAAGGACGACGTAACCTAATTCACGTTAAATATTTGTTTTAAAAAATTTATTTATTGAATAAATTAGTTTTTTTTATAATCTATTTAGTTAAAAACGTCAAGTTTTAAACTAAAGAAAAAGTTTTTTTTTTTTTTTTTACTTACCATGTGTATTTATATGAGCAAATAATAAATTAAAATTAACGCGTATAAAAAGTTACTGCTGTTATCTTAATTTTTGTATAACATTTTAAAAATAAAATATTATCAAGAGACATCATGGTACATGTAGGATTTATTCTCAATAATAATATTATCATACATTTAATTTTTTTAAACTATCCCTACTATCTTTCGTATGATAAAAAGGGGAAAAAATCATCTTATTTGTTTTCATGAAAGGCGGGAGTGGCAATTTGAAGATAAAATTTAAAAAAAAAAAAAAAAAAAAAAAAAAAAAAACTAACGGCATAAATATGTATTAGGATTAAACATCTTTTTATCTAAGTAAATATATAAAAAGTTGATTTTATTTATTTTTATTTTTTTAAACATTTGATTTTGCTCCTCTTAAATATATAAATATTCATTTCAATTTTTTATTTTTTTGAAACGTTTGAATTTTGATTTTTATATATATATATAAATTTGTTAAAACTTATCTCCTCTACTGTTTTACTAATCTATTTTTTTTTTAAATATTATCATACTATTAAATCAACGGAGTTAAAATTTAAAATAAATTTTAACATATTTTAAAAAAAGAGAAGAAAAAGTCGACGAAATAGGAGATTGAAGCGAAGTTTTATATATTTACCACGAAAAGGATGTTTAGTGAAAAATCTCAGTTCAATTGATTGGGGACTGGATGTAAGTCATACGTAGATGTAACTGAACCAATATAAATTTCTTGTGTATTTTTCTTTATCCCTACACTTGTCTTTACACTCTTACAAATTTGATTATATGCTTACTGTTGTAAGGCATGAATTATAAACTTTGCATATATAAGACTAATAGAATATGATATTGCATGTACAAGGCATCTTAACACCATATCTTATATACAATTATATTTCAATATACTTCATTGAACTTTAGAAAAGCTTTTTAACCTAGAAAAAATGAAAGATTTTTTAATATCCAATTCACCCCCTCCCCCTCTTGGATAGGTAATTTTTTCTAACAAAAATTATTGTGAATAAGTTATAATGTGAATTTATTGTTAATGACTTGAAGTATTTTGGTGATAACAATGTTTAAGAAATTAATGTGTAATATTTATCACATTCAAAGACTAGTTAAGTCATTAAATTAAATGTTTAGTTTGGTGTAAATCTCTTAGTGACTATGATTAAGGTATTAACATATGATTAGATGTTTTCATAGTGATTGTATTTGAGGTGTTATTGGATGATGTTGTGGACATTGTTATGTTTGAACTATGAATATGTGACTCTTGTGGGATACAATGTGTTGTGCTTGAACCATGTGATTGTCACATAATCTGAACTCTAAGTTGAAGCTTAGCAAGGATAAAGTCTCGGCATGTTAGCTTAGTAGTGATATGAGAATGTGTGCAATATGTACTTCTAATATTGTGGTAATGCGATAACTTAATAATCGCATTGGGTCATGTACAACATACATCATATACATAAGTGTTTTGATGGTACAATACATAATACACTACTAGGGGAAGGTCTCCTTGTATAAAAGTTTGGAGATTCATGACCTTGAGGATAGTCGGGTTTGGGAGCCTTAATTCTGCTTATTTGGGTGCATGGGGTGTAACTTGTGCGACACCACTATCCCAATGCGTTCTGGTGTATCTTCTCCTAATATAAAGTGTGATGAGTGTAACACCCCAGTTTTCATACTTTTTATGGAGGGTAATTTAGTAATTTTCATAAAATTTATTAAGGGTAATTTAGTAGCCTAGAACAGGTCGTTCCAGTACTAAAAAGACCTATTTTTGGTAGCCTAGAACGGGCCGTTCCCAATTGGAATGGACTGTTTCAAACTATTAAAAAGGCCTATAACCCTATTTGGAAACGGACCGTTCTGGTTTAAGAACGGGTCATTCCAAACATGGTCGTTGTGAGTTAAAACTCATCTCCAGAACGGACTGTTCTAGTTTAAGAACGGACCGTTCCAGATGTGAATTTTGCACATGATGAAAGGATCCAAAACGGGTCATTTCGGATTAAAAATGGACCGTTCTGGCCACTCTTGAAATCTATAAATAGAAAACTTTAGCACTGTTTCTAGACACACTCTCTAAAGACCAAGGAGAACCAAGAGAAGAAACCTCGCTCTAGGTGTGGAGCATATGTTGGGTAGTGGGATTGGCCCCCAATCCTATGTTTGTTGTATACTCATGTATGAAGGGTTCTTCCCAATTGTATCTGTTTCATCTTTGTTTCTCCCTGAATTTTCTAATTGATGTAATTAGTATGAATGTATGAGTAGTGTTTGTGTTTGGGTCATATTTGCAGACTTTGGTGTTCCTATAGGTTCCTATGGGAAACCCTAAGGGAATGCATTGATGATTATAAGATGAGATTGTTTAAGAGACAAATATATGAGTAAATTGTATTATTTTAAATGTTTATTGTATGAATTAGGGTACTTTGTGGGTTCCTGAGAGAACCCTATGAGAAACAGGCAAAATATGAATGTTTTTTGTTTTGCTTTCTGATTGTTCTATTGTATTCCTTGTGAATGAGATGTACGAATATGTATTTAATTTCGCAAATAGACAAGTGTTGATATGAATTAAAGTGCTTTGTGGAGACTATGTGAATGTGATGAGATAATGTGAAATGTGAATATGAGACATGAGATATGAGGATATGTGATAATGTTACATGATGATGTGATATGATAATGAGACATGACGATGTGATAAGAAAATGAGACATGATAATGTGATATGAGAATGCATAGAGTCGTGACTGACATGCATCATTTGCATAAATGTTTTTAAGGGTACGATATGGAATACATTGTCAAGGAAGGCCCCCTTGTGTAAAAGCTTGGGGATTAGTCCTTGGGGATAGATAGGTTTGTAAGTCTCAGTCTCGCCCATCGTGTGCATGGGATGTATCTTGTGCGGCTTAGCTATCCCGACGAGACCCTAGTAGTATGTCCTTCTAGTAAGAGTGCGCAGAGGGTGTGACCCGGCATGTATTCCTAGACTACTCTCGTGTATTGCTAGCGGTAATACGCCATGTGATATGTGTTACTAGTGTCACATGCATGATAATATGTAGTCCGTGTCCATTACATGTGCATTTTAATGTTACATGTTAAAGTGACTTTTATGTCTTTGATGAGTGGAATGTGATATTGTTTTTAATCTATCTAAGCTATGTACATATACATGTCTTGTTTGTGTTTGGCTATCCGGTGTATTCCTACACCGTGAGCTAGAGTGAGATGTTTCTCACTCCCTTTTCTTTTGTGTTGTTTTCCTTTGGTTATTATACAATTGATCATCAGCATGAGGCTTAAGATTGTTGGTGATGAAGCTTAGGCTTCAGTGTTGGGCTTTGCTCTGATAGGACATGTGATATCGAGGCGTAGATAGAATTAGCTTAGGTTCCACTAAGTGTAGAGACCATGGCGGGTCGTTACATTTAACCTTATATATTATACGTTCTTTCATTTGTTCCCATTAAAATGAAAAGAAAATAAATTTGTGTATAAACAAAAACGAAATGAGTTTTATAATTTTTGTTTTGATAAATATTTTAAGATTTATGCATATAAAATAATATATTCGGTTTTAATTATTTTATATTTAAATAATACTAGTATTAAATTAAAAACTTCTCGAAAACCTTACATTTCCGATGCAGCGAAGGTTCCTAGCAAATCTGAAAGACGCGTTTGCTTTGTTTCTTTTTCCCTTCGTACGTCCTTCTCTTGTTTCTTCTAACGGCACAAAGTAGAAGAAGAAGCATTATTCTATTCTCTAGATGCCTTTCCCATACTATTCTAAATGGGTAGAAGTTTCGAAGCAAATGTGAAATAGAAAACTTAATGGGAGGGATAATCGGGGAACGGCAATGCCAACCATATTATATATTTATACAAACAGTAACGATGTCATCATTCACACTACATAGAAGAAATTACTGTGAATACTACATTCCTAAGCCATTACTGTATCTGCATGATGAGTACACCATCCGTTCGACGCATTTCAGAATGCTTCGTGAAGCCACATCGTCCAATCCAAGAATCCAATCAAATATGTCAATTAACACCTTGGGATATGATTCTCTTGTCTCATCACTATATCCAGAAGGGTTTACTCTACAAGAAGCCTTCAACACTTGGCGATCAACATGATTTCATAGAGAATCTGCTGAACAAGCTCAAGACCTCTCTCTCACACACTCTCTCTCTTTTCTATCCATTGTCTGGCCGCCTTGTCACCCACAAAACACAAGACCCTCCCTCTTATGCCCTTTTTGTTGATTGCAACAATAGTGATGGAGCAAGATTCATCCATGCAACCCTGGACATGACTGTATCTGATATACTCTCTCCCATTGATGTTCCACCCATTGTTCACTCATTCTTTGATCACCACAAAGCAGTGAACCATGATGGCCACACCATGCCGCTGTTGTCCATCCAAGTCACTGAACTAGTGGATGGTGTTTTCGTAGGTTGTTCCATGAACCACACTGTTGGTGATGGCACTTCTTATTGGAATTTCTTCAGCACATGGTCTCACATCTTTCAAGCTCAATCCCTAGGACATGAACATGATGTTCCCATTTCGCACCCTCCTATACACGACCGTTGGTTTCCAAATGACTGTGGTCGATCAGTCAATCTTCCTTACAAACACCATGACGAGTTTATAAGCAACTTTGAAACACCCTTGGTGAGGGAGAGAATCTTCCACTTTTCAGCAGAGTCTATAGCGAAACTGAAAGCAAAGGCGAACTCAGAGTCGAACAGCACGAAAATCTCTTCATTCCAGTCACTATCAGCACTTGTATGGAGATCCATAACTCGTGCGCGCTCCATGCCGTACGATGGAAGAACAAGTTGCAAGATGGCCATAAACAATCGAGCGAGAATGGAACCGCGTATGGCGGAGGAGTACTTTGGGAACTTAGTTCAAGTAGTGGGCGCAGAAACGACAGCAAGAGAATTGCTTGAGAATGATCTAGGATGGGCAGCGTGGCAGTTACACGTGGCAGTTGCCAACCACAACGAGAAAGTGGTGATGCAATCGCTGAAAGGATGGCTAGAGCGTCCTTTTATACCTCAATTTGGTAAGTTGTACGATCCGTACAGTGTGCTGATGGGTTGCTCGCCGAGGTTCAACATGTATGGGAATGAATTTGGAATGGGTAAAGGAATAGCAGTCAGAAGTGGCTATGCCAATAAATTTGATGGAAAAGTGAGTTCATATCCAGGTCAAGAGGGAGGGGGAAGCATTGATTTGGAACTGTGCCTTCTACCACATGTAATGACTGCTCTCGAATCGGACAAGGACTTTATGACTGCAGTTTCGGTGCCAATAAATTTGATGGAAAAGTGAGTTCATATTAATAAAGTATTAGGTAACATTGCTTTATTTGTATGTTTTGTATCCTGTTGTAAGCTGAATGACTTTGTCACGTGAGCATATTAGTTACGAGTGTGGCTTCCTTTGTAAGCTTTGTTTGTCTATATAATTCACTCTCTGTCATTTTTAGAGAGTGATAGAAAATAATAAAAGAACAGAATTCATTTTACTTTTCTCTCTCTAAAACTTTTACATGGTATCTAGAGCTTCCTGAAGTCTCACATGGCTTTCGACCCAAAACCTAACTCTTCCACATCTCTTTCGTTGCACTTTGCTTCTTTTTCGTTTTCGATTACAGAGAAATTATCAGATGACAATTATCTTGTCTGGCTTCAACAAATTGAACCTGTTCTTCGCGCGCATAGATTGCATAGTTTTTGCGCATCACCAGAAATTCCAAGTCGCTATCTTACTGAATAAGATCGTCTTGCTGATAATGAGAATCCTGCATTCGTAGCCTAGGAGTTGCAAGATCAACTTCTTGCATGGCTTCAATCTTCGCTTTCGTCGTCGATTCTACTGAAAGTTATTGGATGTCGATATTCATGGCAACTTTGGGAGAAAGTTCATCATTATTTTCATTCAAAGACAAAAGCTCAAGCTCGACATTTACGTTCTAAGCTTCGAAACATAAAAAAAAGGTGATCAATTAGCTTCACATGTTCTCACTCGCATCAAATCGATCTCTGATTCTCTTCTTTCAATTGGAGAAACTATTTCACCACAAGAGAAATGTGACACCCTTACTACCCCAATACATATATTGTAATAATGAAAACTTAAAAAATAAAATTTTCAATTTTGGTAAAAGGGTTCACATGAGAATCTTCAAAATTATTCTTTGATAACCATAATAATAAAAATGAAACGCAGGAGTTTACAAATTATTTTTAAAAATAATAATTACAATTCCAAAACCATATAAAAATCTATGTCCTAAAAATTCTCTGCCCTGATGTCACAAATATTAGAGCATACCCACAATTCCACTTGTTGGCATTCTAGATGCCACTCGAAGCCGGATCTTTCTCACTTAAAACATCCACAAATCGTACGGTGAGAAAAGAAAACATCTATATATATAGCACATAAGAAAACACAACATATTAACTTAATATTCATACATATTTCCACATAACGTAATTCAATCAACCATGCATCGTCATCACGTCATAATTCTCAATCACACTAATTTGCACTTCATACTATGCCAAGGTCACGCTACCCATTTAACAATCTCAGGTCGTGCTCACCCCTGATATAACACTGTGCCAAGGTCACGTTATCCCTATCCCAGGGCCGTGTTCACCCTTGACATGTTAACCAAGGTCACGATACCCACATAACAATCCAGAGCCATGCTCACCCCTGATATAACACTGTGCCAAGGTCACGTTACCCCTAACCTAGGATCGTGCTCATCCCTGACATGTTAACCAAGGTCACGATACTCATGTAACAATCTCGGGCCGTGCTCACCCCTAGTCATAGGTGTGAAGAACCACAACCAATCTCATTCACATTCCACACAACATCTCATAGTTCAATTCCATACACATATCATATAAGTCCAAAATAATGGGTTTCATACATATCAAGCAATTCACATTTAAATAATCAATAATATAACAATGATATTCATAAATTAATATAATAATCAATAGAATTAGCAATTTAATATAATTTTAGCATAAACAGTAAAACCTCCAATTGTTCCAAAACCTAGCTCACAGGCACTTTTCTACAATTTCGTTCTCTCTCCCAGATCATCATTCTTACAATTTAAATATATTTCTAATCCTCAACACATACGGAATCTAATGGTATAATTAATTCCTCAAACAGAAATAATCTAATTTTTCCAAAACCTAACCTACAGGCACTTTTCTATAATTTCGTTCTCTCTCCTAGAGCATCATTTTTACAAACAAACCATATATTTTTTGTCCTAAATATATACAGAATCAAATAATACCAATAATTCTTCAAACAGAAATAATTATAAAATTACTCATAATCCTAAGGGATTCTTCCTCTACCCAATTCCCTCATGTAACTCTATATATAAATAATTCCCTTTTTCCCCCGTACCTGGATATGTAGAAGCTGAATCTACACTAGATTTGGTTGGTCTCCCTCGTTGGGTTCCCCTCGGTCTGAAGCAGAAAGTAGAGGAAAGAAGAGAGAGAGAAGAAGAAAAGAAATCAGAAATGAGAGGTGTGCTTTTTGGGAGCGGCAAACAGCTCTATTTATAGGCCTTCTACGCCGGAACGACCCGTTCCAAATCCGGAATGGCCCGTTCCGGATTCTTAAACCATGGGTAAAAATCACATCCAGAACGGCCCGTTCCCAAACCAGAACGGCCCGTTCTGGTGTGCATTAATTACTCACAACGGCCATAATTTTGGAAACACCCCGTTTCAAGCCCGTTCCCATTTAGGGTTAATAGCATATTTAATAGTCCGGAACGGCCCGTTCCATCTTGAGAACGGTCGGTTCTGGGCTATTACCTCACATACAATTTGGTAGTTTGGAACGGCCCGTTCCAATTCCGGAACAGCCCGTTCCAAGCTACTGAATCACCCCTAACACCTTTATAAAATTACCAAAATACCCTCAATTAAAATAAATAAATAAATAAGTGAAATAAAAACTGGGGTGTTACAAGAAACTTGATGCGCTTCTTGATGGTTTACCTACTGAGTATGAATCTTTGGTTACATTAGTGAATAGCAAGCTTGAGTGGTTTGAATTTGATGATGTTGAATCCTTGCTTTTAGCTCAAGAATCTCGTGTTAATAAACAGAAGGACATTGTTGATTCTGTTTCCACTTTGAATTTAACACAATCCAAATTACCTAAATCAGCTTCTTTACAGAATGTGTTAGTATCAAATACTACACCTCAGGTAAATGTAACCGGTAATGCACCTCAATTTGCAAGTGATGTTTCTCAACACTCTCATGGATTTCAAGCAAGTCGAGGTGGTAGATTTAGTCGTAGAGGTGGTAGAGGCGGACGTTCAGGTAGAGGAAATATTCAGTGTCAAGTTTGCTACAAGTTTGGTCATGAGGCTTCCTACTGTTATCACAGATTTAATCCGACTTATGCACCTAGTTATCCAAATTTTATGCCTCAACAATCAACCTTCATGCCTCAACAAATGAATTATAACTATCAGCCTTATCCTGTTGGCTTTATGAAGAATCATTTTCAATATGTTCGACCACAGCAGAATGTTACTTCTTCTACTCCTACCTCATCACCTCAAGCATTTGTTACTAATGTAATTCCTCCACAACAGTCACAAAACTGGCTTGTCGATTCAGGAGCTTCTCATCATGTTACCACTGATCCAAATAATCTTGCTACAGAGGTCCCATTGACTGCTCCTGAACATGTGTTTTTAGGAAATGGTAAAGGTTTGCCCATAAAATTTGTTGGTTCGGTGTCTTTTACTTCTCCTAAAAATCCAAACACTATTTTACATCTTCACAATATGTTACATGTTTCGTATATCACTAAGAACTTAGTGAGTGTTAGCAAATTTGCTCATGATAATCAAGTTTATTTTGAATTTCATTCAACTCATTGTCTTGTTAAATCTCAGGTTGATCACTCTGTTTTGCTTGAAGGTCATCTCACTGCTGATGGCCTCTATTCTTTCCCTCATTTGTCTTTTAGTTGCTGTCAACCACAACATCTACCATTATCAATCAAGCCTTCAAGTTCTATTGCTTTATCTACTACATGTACTTCTAGAGTTTGCTCAGACACTGTACAATCACCCACTCCCACTACATTGTCCTTATGGCACAATAGGCTTGGTCATCCTTGTTTTTCTGTCTTACAAAATGTACTAAAATTTTGTAAAATCCCTGTCTCTAATAAAAATGAGGTTCAATTTTGTGTGGCTTGTTGTATGGGAAAATCTCATAGGCTTCCTTCTTCTTCATCTACTACTGTTTATTCCACTCCTTTGGAATTGTTGTTTTGTGATCTATGGGGACCAACACCTATGCTTTCGTCTATGGGATATCATTACTATATGTCTTTTGTGGATGCTTACAGTCGCTTTACATGGATTTATTTTCTTAAAAATAAATCTGAGGCTCTTACTATATTCAAACAGTTTCAAGCCATGGCTAAACTTCAATTTAATCATAAAATCAAATCTTTTCAGTCTGATTGGGGTGGTGAATTTCGACCATTTACTCAAATTTTAACCAGTTTGGGTATAACTCATAGATTAATCTGTCCTCACACACATCATCAAAATGGTGTTGTTGAAAGAAAGCATAGACATATTATTGAAATGGGATTAACTCTTCTTTCTCAAGCATTCTTGCCTATGAAATATTGGGATCATGTCTTTCACACTACTGTATATCTTATTAACAGATTACCATCTTTATCTCATAACAAAATTGTTCCCTATCAGGTTTTGTATAGTAAAGATCTGGATTACACCTTTATTAAGGTGTTTGGGTGTGCTTGTTATCCTTTACTCACACCATATAACACAAATAAACTTCACTTTCGGTCAACAGAATGTGTTTTCCTGGGATACTCTTCTTCTCATAAGGGATATAAGTGTCTTGATACCAATGGTCTTTTGTTTATTTCCAAAGATGTTATTTTCAATGAGCAGCGTTTCCCATATCAACATCTCATACCATCTACTACATCTGTTTCAAACAGTTCCACTAATTTTCCACTTGGGGTTTTGTCCTCTAATGATGTTGCCTCTACTTCTACTTCAAACTCATCGTCTAGTTCGTCACCACTCTCTGCTCATACTTTACCGCCATCAACCTCCAATGTTCATCCTATGCAAACTAGATCCAAGTCTGGAATTGTTAGACCTAAACTGCACCCCACACTTTTACTTACTACTACTGAACCTACATCTCTTAAACAAGCTTTATCATCTCCATCATGGAAAACTGTTATGTCTCTTGAATATGATGCTCTAATAAAAAACCAAACATGGAAACTTGTTCCCTTACCTTCTAACCGTACTCTTATTGGTTGTAAATGGGTTTATTGTATAAAGGAAAATCATGATGGAACTATCAATAAGTATAAAGCTCGCCTTGTAGCTAAAGGATTTCATCAAAAGTTTGGTTCTGACTATAGTGAAACTTTTTCACCAGTCATTAAACCAATTACTATTCGAGTTATCCTAACTCTTGTTGTCACATATCATTGGCCTATTAAACAAGTTGATATCAACAATGCTTTCCTTAATGGATTTTTGGAAGAAGATGTTTATATGATGCAACCACCTGGGTTTGAGGTTTCAGATAAAACTCTTGTATGTAAGTTAAATAAAGCCATTTATGGCTTAAAGCTTGGTATGATAGGCTGACTAAAACGTTACTTGTTTTTGGCTTCGTTCAAAGTCGTTGTGATCCCTCCTTACATATTTACAAGCAATCTCAAGTGTGCATTTATATGTTGATCTACGTTGATGATATAATTGTCGCTGAAAATTCTCATTCTCTAGTGCAGTCTTTTATCTCAAAGCTAAATGGTGTTTTTGCTCTTAAGCAACTTGGTGACTTGGATTATTTTCTGGGTATTGAAGTCAAACGCACAAATTCAGGTTCTATTATTCTTAATCAAGCTAAGTACATCAGAGATCTTCTGCAGCGAACTGATATGTATAATGCCAAGGGCATCTCTACTCCTCAACAAGCCAAACTTAAGCTTTCAAAGTATGGGTCTGATTATTTTGATGATCCTGTAGCTTACAGATCCATAGTTGGTGCTCTTCAATATGTTACTATTACTCAGCTAGAAATTGGATATGTTGTTAATAAAGTGTGTCAATTTATGGCACAACCTCTTACTTGTCATTGGAGTGCTGTAAAACATATTCTGCGATATCTTCGTGGAACTGTTGATTTTGGCCTGCATTTTTAATCTGCTTCTACTACTGCTCCTCTATCTTTGCAGGGTTTTTCAGATTCTAATTGGGCATCTGACGTGGATGATAGACGCTCTACATCTGGGGCTTGTATATTTTTTGGTCCTAACCTTATTTCATGATGGTCTAAGAAGCAGACTCTTGTAGCTCGCTCCACTGCTGAAGCTGAGTATCGCAGTTTAGCGTTGGCTACTTCTGAAATTTTATGGATTCAATCTTTGCTTAATGAATTACAAGTTCAGATTCCAACTCCAGTTCTTTACTGTGATAATCAGAGTACTATATCTCTCAGCCATAATCCAGTTCTTCATTCCAGAACTAAGCATATGGAACTTGATATTTTCTTTGTTAGAGAAAAAGTTCTCAATAAATCTTTAATTGTCTCCTATGTGCCAACTCAAGCTCAAGTTGCTGATATACTTACCAAGCCTCTTTCTAAAGTACAATTCTGCAGTTTTAGAGACAAACTCAAGGTTCTAGGTTCGTCCCAACCTAAGTTTATGGGGGAGTAATAAAGTATTAGGTAGCATTGCTTTATTTGTATGTTTTGTATTTTGTTGTAAGTTGAGTGGCTTTGTCACGTCAGCATATTAGTTACGAGTGTGGCTTCCTTTATAAGCTTTGTTTGTCTATATAATTCACTCTCTGTCATTTTTAGAGACTGATAGAAAATAATAACAGAACAGAATTCATTTTACTTTTCTCTCTCTGAAACTTTCACACGTATCATCAATAAAGATCATAATAACAGCATTGAGATAAAAAACAAAAAAACAAAAAAACAAAAAAAAAAGATAGAAATAAAATAAGTAGAAGAAAAAAAAAAGAAATAGAAAAGAACAGTATTATTTATATGGATAGAAAAAAAAAAAGTTTACTTATTTATTTGGAGAAGTGAAAGAAAAGAAAAAAAAGTGTAGTTTTAGAAATATATGCTCTAGTTAGATATTAGTTATAGACTTATGGGTTAATTAGTGTGTTAGTTAATTAGTTACATATATTGGTTTACTTTTTAGTATATAAACCACTATTATTTGTATGTACTTCAATACGTTTCAATTAATACAATTAAAAATTTCTCTACCTTTTTGTCTTTCACGAGTATAGGGCAATGTGATCCCTTTACTCTAAGATTCACCCAAACCAACCCATCCAATATATACAAGTAACACATATATACAATAAGAACAACAATAGCCTTTTATATTCTAACGTTCAATAGACATATCATATAGGAGCGTAAGTGGGTTGGATTGTATTGGAATTGGATAAATCTTTTTATCTGATCTAATCAAAATTTAATAGGTTAGATTGGGTTAGATTTGTACGATATATAAAATGACATAAGTGACTAACATATATCTTTGTGAGTCAAACAACAAGAGAAGGTAAAGCAAACTACATCTTCATGTTGTAGAAGTGTGAATTTTTAAATGAAATGTTTATTATTTTTATTATTAGTTTAAAAATGTATCAATAAGACACTTTATTTCAATGCAATTCACATTGCTGATGATATAAGATAACGTGAGCGGCTATTAGATACTTTTATGACTCTTGTAACAAACAATAATAATGTAAAACTACATGTCAACGTTATAGAGTATGTTTTTATCAGAATTTGTAAATGTTTTAAAGGGATAATGTTTTGATTACTTTGAGATTCGTTGTAGTGGAGGTACCTATAAAATCACTTTGACATTCAAGTTAGAAGGAATTTTATGTTAAGAATGAAATTAGGGTAAAATAATACCTAATGTCCCATATATAGGCGATTCATCTTATCTTTAAGTTTAGAAATAATGTTGTCATATCTTGGAGATATATTTCAACGATTGTATGGAGATATTGGTCTTGACAAGTGAATATATTTTATTAGGTGAATATAATGTACTTGATTACGATATTCTAAAAATATTCATGCCAATATATCATTCTAGCCATCAAGAGTTAACCTTCTAGGATTTCACTTTATGATGATGGATTGGAGGCTTAGTGTGAGCAACCTGAAGAAGGCCAATTCGACCTAGTCAAGTTGGCATTACATAAGCCCCTAAGCTCCGAGCTCTTTAGAGGGAAGGAGTTATAAGTTGTGCTTAAGTCGCTTTATCTCGCCTGTGTTAAAGTAGGTTGTCTAGCTTGAAGTTTGGAGAGACTTGTAAGTAGATTGAAGTGGTTTGCATGTTTTGCTAGTAATCATTTGTTTTGTATTTGTCACAAATAGTAAGCTTGCATGTTGTATTGGCTAGCTTGTACATACTTAGCTCGTTAGAAGTGATAAGTTTGTAGTAGTTATTAATATATAATCGTTTAAGATGATAAGCTCAAAAGATTATAAGTTGTAATCATAATGGTGAAGTGATCAATTTATGATTGTAATTGCAGAGGTTTCAGGAGCTCGTGGTTGATCAACCCATGGTTGTAGACTTGTAGTGAAGAGATTGACACTTAACCTTGATCTTTAGTTACACATTGGCTTTGTTAACAGTGATCAGCTTTCCTGTGTTAAGGTATGTTTATTTGTAATTTTGTTGCCTTATGCTATGATGCTTTTGTTGATATACGAGGTTTCATTGAAGCATATATGGGTTACATCTTACGTGAACATGTTTTTGCAGAATTGTTGCGTTTGCCTTCTGAACATTTTCTTGTTTTGTTGAACAGCGCTGGAAATTTTAGTGCCTGACTTACTGCTGTACTGAGGAATTCATTTCATATATTTTATTATATTGAGTTGGGAAAACAGTAGATTCCTTCAATGCAAGGGCAGAGAGGTACAATTGGTTCAATGCCTGAAACTTTAGAATTTGATTGTGGATCTGCATCAAGTAGTTCTACCATGGATCAGCAGATTTGCTGGAATAATGTGAATCCTGCAGAAAATCAAATACCTAATTATATACTTTCTCCTGGTGATATGAACTCATCTTATGTTAATTCTATTAATCATAAATGGCAAAACTTGAGTGGCTGGAGCTTAGGCGAACCAAATTCCAGTAATACCCCTAATGAGATTAACAATAATAAGTTGCTGGAATTATTTTCTCTATGGCACAGTTGCTCTGTTTAGGGAGGTTATAGTTATCTTTGTTCTCTCTATCAAATAATGCAATTATCTCTGTTTTACATATCTCTGTTCCTAGGTTTCCATTTTAAATCCTTGAACCCCAAGTTTAGTGTGGAGTACATTTATTTTGGTATGGATTGATGCCAACAGCGAGATTCTATAAACTTGATAAGAGATACATTATCAGAATCATAATAATCGCAACTTTATTTGATTTTGGCAATTGAGTGTTGGCCTAATTTATCATTTACTTTTGCTGAGGGGTGTCTTTTGTGAGGATACCTTTTGGTTTGCTGTGACAACATTTATTTGGAGCCTGGTCTTGCTTGAGCTTATGTATGCATTAATGTAGGAGGTTTAGAAAAAATTATTCCCTCCCAGATGGATAAGTAATGCTGTTTGTGATGGAGATAGTGGTTTTTGTAGAATGATCATGGTAAAACATTCGATATTTATTTTAAAGCTTTTGAATTGGGTAATGTCAAAATGAGTAGGGTCAGAATTCAAATCATTGTTACGTTGATGTCATATCAAAATTTTGAACTATTTTTTTGAACATATGCACTTGAGCAAATGGTGCAAGCTGCGAATGCTTCCGCTGGACTTAGGACTATCAAACGGGTGGAGCAAACTTTGCAAGATCTTGGGGTTTGTCTTTACTCCCTTGAACTTTTAATTCAGTTTAGATGTTTCATTTGTTTTTGTCCCTGGTACAGTTGCTAGTATTCACTTATCTGTGTTTTTAACAATATATAGGCAAATGTTAACTAGTGAACACTTGTTAAGGATTAAAAAATGGAAAATATTGTTTATTTTTTATAAGAACCTTTTTTTTTGGTGAATTTGTAAGAACTGTTTTTGACGTTTGCTTTGGTCCTTTTCATAGGACCCCTTCTAAATTATTTACTGCATTAAAAAAAATTTAACAGAAAATGTTCTTAATTACTCATCTATTTTTTCTAGTCTATGAATAATAATTGCAGTAAATTAATTTCTTGGACTCTCACAAAGATAGGGGATCCCAATAATTTAGAGGGTAATTCTGGACAAATAATACAAATTATTTCAAACTTTAAATATAGAGCGTTGGTCATAATATGCAATAATGCAAAATTTGAAAACAATATATTGGATAACATGTTTATGTAGGAGATATATCATATGACCCTGACGTTTCTTTTGAATATATGGCAGCTTTGGTATGCATTGGGAAAGATGAGGGCAGAGAAAGCTTCTTGGAGAATAGCTAATGAAAGGGGTTTGAAGCTCACTACCATTTGTCCAGCTCTAGTTACCGGTCCTGAATTTTGTCATAGGAATCCAACAGCAACAATTTCTTATCTCAAAGGTAATAATACTATTAATTAACCTAAGGTATAATTTGTTTTTAAGCCTTGAGAATTTGACTAAACTTGATCTTAATTGGTTTCTATACTTTAAAAGCAATAGAATCTAAAGAATAGAGCAACTTAAAACACATTTTACCTTGATCAAAATTGGTTTATATACTTTAAAGAAATATGGACCAAGACCAAATTTAATCAAAAATAGAGCAACTTAAAACACATTTTACCTTGATTAAAATTTTCCTTTTGATGTTGATGTAATAGAATCTAAAGATTTTACAATTGCAAATTCAGGTGCCCAAGAAATGTACTCTCATGGTTTGCTAGCAAGAGTGGATGTGACCAAATTGGCTGAAGCTCATGCATGTGTATTCAAGGCAATGAACAACAATGCTTCTGGTAGATACATTTGCTTTGACCATGTGATTGATTCCCTTAGTGAGGCAGAGAATATTATTATTATTATTATTATTATTATTATTATTTGTAATATAAAATTATTATATATTATTATTATAATACAGATATGAGATTGTATATTTGAGGATGACTTAAATGAATTAATCTGTACAAGTTATACTGACAACATACATATACATTTCGGTAGCTTACTCATCAGAACTTCACAGTTAAGCGTGCTTGACCTGGAGTAGTACAAGGATGGGTGACCTTCTGGGAAGTTTCCCAGAAATTGCACAAGTAAGGATAAAACATGCTAAACAGTGAAATATCGTGAAATAAAATCCTTGAAAGGCCAAATATGAGGATTGTTACATTAATAAATTTATTAAAATAAAAAAAAATTATAATTTTTGACTGTTAAAAAAAGGATTGTAATATTAATTTAGAGGCAGTTGGTGCGACGGTTGATGAAAGGGTCGCAATGTTAATATAGAGGCATTTGGTGCGACAGTTGATGAAACGGTCGCAATTCCAATTTTGCGACGGTTTGTGCAACGGTTCTGATAACCGTCGCAAAATTGCCTGGTGACGGACGACTCTGCGAAGGTTCCCAAACCGTCGCAATGTTGTCTTTGCGGCAGTTATAACCGTCGCAATGTAGGTCATATAACCGTCGCAAAATCGTCATTTTCTTGTAGTGGTTTGTGATAGTTGTGATTAAAGAGCTTGAAAGTTTGAAGTGCTTAGTTTGTGGTCATAATGGTAAAGAGATCAACTTGTGGTCGTTCTAATAAGGTGATTAATAAGCACTTGTAATGTTGGTGGTCTAACGGCTTCGATATGGGTGAGCTCGTGAGATTGGCTCGGGCCATTTGAGCTAAACAGTAAAGGAGCCTCTTGAGCTTTAAGTTCTTTTGAAGGAAAGATATTCTAGAAGATATCCATGTTAAGCTATCTTGCTAACCTTTAGGAGTTAAGCGTATAGGATTTTATTACGTTATGATGATGGACTGGAAGCCTAGCATGGACAAGAAGGAGAAGACGAGCTCACCCTGGTCTAGTGTTAAACCCTCAAAATGCTTCATAATAACATGTTATTCATGATTTTTTTGTCCTATTTTCATGTTAAGTATTTGGAAAAACTTCACTTTTCTTATTAAGTGTGCAGTAAATAGGAAAAATAATTAAAGAGATGAAATTTGTACACTCAAGAAGTAAACTGAAGCAATTATGAACTTTGGAGCCATGTAGTTTTATAATTCATGAAATTTTTCTTGGGGGATCAGAGACAATAAGTTACAACCTTAGAGTTCTTAATCTTTGAATCTTAATCCTTCTATTTTTTTCTTTAATTGTTATTTTCTATTTTCTCTCAAATCAAATTTGTATCTCTTTAAACTGCTGAAAATCATAATTATGTTAGTAATTACTTGAACTTGGTTTTTTAGATTTAATATCCGAACTTTGTCCATTGTTACTATTATGATAAAATATGTTTTCTTTTAAACGCATTTTAGACGCAACGTCAAACTGGACGCTAAATAGTGTTGTGTGAATTTTAAGAGTGTTCAATATATAGAATATTTTTCCATTTCTAGTAATCATATTTTCTTTGGATGTTAGTCGTATATCTAAAAAAAATTATAAAATGAGAAAAATAATTATTAAAAAAATATCATAAGAATCTTAGATTTTTAACTCCCCTTATAAAAAAAAATAGTCAGAAAGTTAATTTTATAAAAGCATTAAAAAAATAAAAGAATCTTCCTACCAAACATGTTGTTAGAATATTTTTTTAAAAAAAGTTACACATGGTACAAGACAAATCATGCAACCACATGTGTATCTCTTTGAGTCATACAAGTGAATATATTATAAATTACATGTTGATATTATATAGGTAGAATTTACTAAAATAAGTGATCCTAAAATTTGATAAGTAAAATTATTATTTAAGAGTTATTTAAATTAAATAACAATATAATATAGTCATTATTAATTTTAAATAACTAATATAATTAGTGACAATTTTAAATAATAATTTAATAAATATCTAAAATATATAGATTATTATTTGTCAATTTATAATAAGAACGTGTTTTTAAAATAATTTCAAATATATTTTTAAAATAATTAAAATGCACTAGTTTAATGTAGAATGAAGTGCATATTTTGACTATAATTTATTTTTTGACGATTTAAAACCCCCATAAAATGTAAAATAAGTCAAATGAAAGCACAATTTTGTAATGGTTTAAAACTATTAGAAAATTTAAGACAGTCAAATGGAACCGCAATTTTGTGGCGGTTTCAACGTTGAATAAGGTAAAATTAAAATGTATTTTGTGGGGCTTTTAAATCATCACAAAGTGATTGAACTTTCTGACGCCCAAAACTAGCATTTAGAGAATATCCGCCACAAACCATTTTTGGTATGGTGACCGTGGACCTAACGGTTATTAATAGTGCTGGAAGTATGATTTGTGACGGTTTTAAACCACCAAAAACAGTCAAAATAACCGTCATAAATCACACATTTTTTTGTAGTGTATATAAACAAGAAAAAAGACACTTTGTGTCTACATTGTATTGAAAGAAGAAAAATAAAGACTTTTATGAGTAATTATTGTAGTTTTAAAATAAAATAATAATAAAAAGGGAATGAGAAGTTACTTGTAAGAAAAGGTGATTATAAGAAGTTGTAAAAAAAAACTAGGAGAAAAAATCGTCTATGTTAAAATGAAAAAAAAAATAGTTATCTTAAGGATTATCTTAATAATATAGTTATGACATGGTTTTTTAAATAAAATATTTATTATTTTGAAAATATATTCCATTTTTTAAAAAACATGTTGTAACGACCTGCCAAGTCTCACATTGTCCATAATGTTCAGATACAAGTATAAAATAAAATCTCACTACAAAATAATTATATATATAATGAGAATACACAACTAAAAAGTCTCATAATATATATAACTGAAAGTAGGGAATAATGCCATATACAACAACTAGGTAGTCGTACAACAACTAGGTAGTCAAATGCTACCAATCAACTAAATAAAACATCAGCCCTCCTCCTGAGTCCCAATCAAAAAGAAGCTCACCCAGTCTAGCAGAGTACCTAATCCACCAAGGTATGGTCATCACAGTCCCAACCACATAGGAAAAACACGCTAGGATAAGCTCACAACAATAATCATAAAAAAATAGCATCAACATATAATAAACAACAATAGAATTCTACTTTCAGCTTGCAACTTAAAGCAACACAACATCTACAACAATAGATATACAATATCATCTACTAGCAACAACATTTGCAACACATCGCACTTTATTCAAATTGTCCGCTTGTAATCAGTATAGCTCGGTCTGGCCCCTATACCGTGGTCGCTTCATACACGTGTGCCTCGACCTTGCCCACACACGGGACCAACCAAGTCCTAGAGGAGAACAACACATCATCCACTCCAAGGGATAACTTTCCAAGAAGGGTTTTTAAAAAAATTGGGCTCTCATAGCACCACAACTATCTCAATCTGCACAATGGGATGAAAAACTTTGAAAACTTCTCCTCTAGTCCTAGTGATCAACAACTCATCACAACACAATCACATAGTATTTATCACAATAGCTCAACTATCAACTCATTCATACAACATTATATACAACTTGAATGCAACAACCCATGCAACATCAACTAATGCGTTGTCACGCATATACAATTAGGAGATCTCCAACAACTGAGGTTGAGCATTCTAGGTGGCATTAAACCCTACCAAATCCAACATTTGACCTATCTCAACCAGGTCAGGTATAGGACATTGTTAGGAACTCTGGAGAGAACTAGGTATAGACAACAATAGGCAATTGCTCAAGTGTGTCACTTAGACTCGGAGGTCCAGTACTACTATCAGGACAGAAGGGTTTGGATATGAGCCTACCACAGCCTTGGCTAGCATCACCAATCCACATATGGAGTTAGCCCACCCACTGTCCTCCAAGTACCATGCACCCTCTAGTACCTAGTCAAAGACTACATCTCTAACTAGATACCTTACTCAAATTGGTCATTCAACCATGACATGGATCGACTACTTCCATGTCACCCACATAGTACTAAGGGATTCAACTTTAAAACAACTTTCAACTTATCAACCTTTGTACTATGTATCTCAACATAGGACATATATCTTCACCATATGTCCCAATTTTTCAACTTTACAACAATAGGCAGCTTTACAACTTTACAACAATAGACAACTTTACAACTTTACAACTATAGGCATCTTAACAACTTTACAACAATAGGCATCTTTACAACAATAAGCAACTATAGTCATCAATCTCACACTACAAGAAAAATGCCAATTTCCGACGGAAATTTCCGACAGAAACAAGTAAATTTCTGACGGAATTTGGTATTTCCGACGGATTTTTGACGGATTTAAATTCATCGAAAAAAGTGTTGTCGGAAAAAAAAATCTGTCGGAAATACCAATTTCCGTCGGAAATTTCTGACGAAAAATTCTGTCAGAAAATTCCGTCGGAAATTTCTGACGGAAATTTTCGACGAAATTTCTGTCAAAAATGTCCTCCAGAAATTTCTGACAGAAATTCTGTCAGAAATTTGTGAGGAACATTTCCGACAGAAATTTCGTCAGAAATTTTTGGGGGACATTTCCGACATAAATTTCGTCGGAAATTGCTGGGAAAAATTTCCGACGGAAATTCCATCGAAAATTTTTAGGGAAGATTTCCGACAAAGATTCCGTCGAAAATTTCTTTGAGACATTTCCAACGAAATTTCCGTCGAAAATTAATATTTTAAATTTTAAATAAATTTCTTAATATAACTAACTGACATTATTTTTACCTGTTTAACAAATATATATATATAGATTGCAGAAGCTTCATCAAAATAAATTTAAAAGATAATAGTCAATAATTGTGCCTTAGAAAGTTTTAGAAGGAAATACAACATGTAATAATATTCATACTTCAGAGCCTATTATATATTCCCTCAACATTAAAAATTCTGATA